CAAACCCAAGAAATGGAATTCTTGAGTGTCTCCCTTTTTGAACGTGTCTTTGCGCTTTTTATTGATGGAGAGGTTGAGAAGCTCACTCCCCACTGATTCAATCTGATTCACTCCACTCACTCGGCACTGTGTACTGGATAGTGCAGGAGAAAGTCATCAGCAGTAACAGTGACACTTGGCACCTGTGCCGATCAGACAAAAACATGGTAACGAAGCTTGTCTGTGGGGGTCGATGCCAACCACCACAACCTTGTAATCGTTGGGATTAGGGAACATCAACCGACGGATAGACCATCCTCAATCCTCTCATGTCTTTTCGGATACCGTCCCTTTCAACACACCAGTCCCAGACGCTCCATGGGACTGCCATATTTGCTTACATTGACCCCAGGTCAACCACCGAAACTGATCAGCAGTCCTATGCCAGTCCCATGGAGTGTTTGGGAGTGATGTGCTCCGTCCTCTCGTGCTCCGTCCCTTTCGTCCACGTACGTCTTTCGGGGGCCGTCCGACGTCACCGTTCACTCCTTTCCGACGTCCTGGGCCGCCGCGGCCCACCGGGCGAGCGGGTTCCGGTGCCTGCGCAGTATCCGAGACGGCGGGCGCCTGCGAAGCGGTGGAGCAGTGGGTCACCGCAGCTTCGATCCCGTTGAGGTGGCTGTGGGCCACCGCACACGCACCGGGGCGAAACGAATGTTGACGTGTTGGTGAGGACGAGAGCTGGTCGAAGGCGAACAGGGGCACGTCGAACACAACAGAGATCATCAGAGATCGATTGCGGCTGCGAACGCAGCGGGTCAGTTGCCCCTGGCGACATCTTCCTGTCAGATGCAGTGGCATCACGTCTTCCGAGTCTTCCTCCAGCGTTCAGTTGTCAACATGCCAGGGGGCCGATCCTGACTTGCAGAAGTCCAACCCAGGATTATCCTGAAGGGGACAGGGGTCCCTGTGGTGCCAGAGCAAGCCTCCCCAATCGCTGGCCGAGCTTCTTTCGTCAGGAACCTCACGACACGCACCGCAGAACTGACCCGGCCCCGGCAACCCCCCGGAGCTGGCCGCGGAGCGGTGCGCGGTGCCGCGTACCGCGGAGCACGATACGCAGCGACCGCGAAGGTCTGTGAGACCTGGGAGTTTGGGGGGGAGCGAAGCGAAAAGCAGATGGGATATGTGCCCTGCGATGGGGGATCATGTGGGATTATCTGCGCCGATATACGAACGCAACACGCTTCTTCATCCTTCTGGGGAGCTTTGACGATGTGGTGATTCCCAAATTTCAATACACTAAACCCCTATATCAGCACCAACTCACCAGCACCTGTTAGGGCCCTTCCCCACCCTCCAAAGGAGACCAGTTGGAAGGTGCTGGTATAGAAGTTCTTTTCACGGACGTCCACACCAGAACCACCAGAGAGAGGTCAAAAGTCAAAAGGAAAAGCTATATCAAGTGGCATGTGGGGCCCATGTCATGTAGAAACCTCCACCACTCCATTCCAAAGGGAAGCCATTTGGACAGTTTCAGTCAAACATGGGCATGTATGTCCTCCGCGCTCGGCCGGCGCCGCGCACGGCGAAAACACCCTCCGTCGCCTGCGCGGCTGCTCGGTCGCCTCAAAGGTCCTACCTGGAGATGATGCCCAGGCGGTTTGGTCAAGATGCTTTCAAAGGGAGGTGTCTCTGGAGTTATTGCATGTCATTACCAGAGACTGGGGTTGGCATGGGTTGGCTAGAAGTGATTGAATGGTGTGGTGTTGTTGGTTTCCTCTTGTAGATTGTCATCCTTGGACATCTCCTTTTGTGAACATGACTGCCATCTTCGAACGACACCAGACCGACCAGACCTGAGTGCTCACCTGACCTGGGTGGTTTCTCAGGTTCCGTCCTACCAGCATCCGTCGTTCACAGGTGTCTGGAAGTCCCGGATAGTAGTGTAGAGGGATCGACAGGACACCAAGACGGTCGGATGGTGCTCATTCTACCTGGAATGTGGATGGTTTGGTTCCGTGGCACAAGTCTTGTCGTGGGATTCAGCGGTTTCCGTGGGATTCAGCGGATACCCTTACTGGACCCTTGACTCTTATCCCAATGATTGTTTGGCAAAAATTGGCCAACCCTTAACCCTAAACCATCACTCAAAAGTTTGTGCCAAGAGTCTTGAGGGAAATGTACATTCATTGATTGATGTACACTGTGTGTAATATATATATATATATATTTCTTGTCTGGTTGCATTCGCCTGACCTTGGGCTTCAGCCGGGCAAGGTTTATGTCCCTTCAACTTCATAGCAAGGCCGCCTTGGTTGGCTTTGGAGTCCTTTCTTTTGGCTCAGTGGATTTGTTCATGACGATCCCCTTATCAGACTTGCCTTGTGCGGCGCGTGCAGGGGCCATCAAAGATGCTGCCCCTGATCATGAATGCGCAGAATCGAGGTGGATGGGTCAGGGGCGGAAGGTGGATTGAAGGGTCATGTGGGTTATGTGCTTTCCAAGATTGTATGGTCATGTGAATTGATCTCAAAAGGTTTGTCGTTTTGCATGGCGTCAAGCAACAAGCTGCTCATCAAAGTGGAAAACCATGGCATTCTCACTAATTTCATCATGGACGTGGCCATTCTTGCCCGAAGGAGGAGTAAGTTAATCTTTCGACCTTTGGGCAATGAGATGGGAGACTAGTCTGACCGTCTAAACATCCAAACACCGGCTGAGGCAGCTTCTGCTGCATGCATCTGGTGTGACTTGTTGCCTGATCCTTATAAGATCTTATAAGTACAAATGACCACATGCGGTCTTTATGATTGGTCATAAGACTGAATATCCGGGGCCGCATAGAGATAGACCGGAACATGAACTTATAGACAAAAAACTGGTAATAGCTGATATATCTCGCTGGTCATTCCTGTCCTGTGAGCAGTCCCTGTTCTCAACTTGTTCTCGCCTTGTATGCGAGTCGCGCTAGCTTTGCTGACTCTCTCGGGGATCGAGACTATCCTCGGGTGACTCGGATGGTAGACATCGCCATCGGAGGAAGTTACGAGACTACAAAGCCAGGTGCACTGGTCTTTCTGGCGTGTTCAGAACTGTGCGTTTGGGAAGCTTCTACAATGGCCCAATCAGTTTGTACGGAGAATTTCACCCGGAGGATAGGCCAAAACCCTAGAAGAATGAGCTGATAGACCACGATCCTCAAGCAAGATGGAGATTCTTGTCGCATTGCCGGTGTTGCCGTGCTCCCCCCCGGCCCAGCCGTCGCAGTCGCAGGCGTGCTGCTTCAAGAACTTTCTGGCCATCCGCTGCTGCAGCGGCTGCCTGAGAAACCACCACCTGGTGGCAGGAGTGGACCAGAGGACCACCCAAATAGGTGGAGGAAATCCACCTCACGGGAGCACCAGGACTTGCAAAGGACAAGGAAGTATGGTTATAATGTACGGTGTATAACCCAGACACTCCATGGGACTGCCATGGGACACTGCCTGGGGGTAGGGAGTGTCATGGCAGTCCCATGGAGTGTCTGGGTATAATATACCCCACAAGTCCAAAGACCATTGCCATGGCAACAGCGAGGCATCCTTTTTATGATTTTTATGGATCACCTAACGGCTATTAAAAGAATGGGTTTTGGACTCCCAGAGTATGCGCAAGTGATAGGTGGTTGTTATGTGATACGTATGTTTGTAATTTGATTGGCCACTGGAAACTAGGAAACTTCCATAGCTTGTTTCCCACTCCATAGGACTGGAAGATATGCATTGACGCCTCAAATCAATCACCCACCCCTGGCGACGGACCGAGCGACACTCCGAGACAGGTCGTCGGTCTCCGCTCGGGCCCGGTGAAAAACGCGCATTCAAGGCGCGTCCTGTTTTGCGGCGACCTCAGGTGGTGTGGCGGCTGCCCGGGTCATCTACGGGCACCTCGGTGTCGAAGACTGGCATAGACTGCTGGCATCTTGCTGTGTTGAGGAATTCAGTGGATGGCATGGGAACCTGTAAAAATGGATGGCTTCCAAGCTGGGCAGGGCACCTGTCGTGCTTCGTGTGAACAGGATTTCTGATTGCTTCGAGACGAAAATGTCCACCGAAGTCACCTGGGTGGTTTCTGTGGGCCCAGGCCGCTGCAGACCACGTGTTGCCCGGCAGCGGCACCTTATGGGATGCTCGGATTGGACGGCGGATGGAGGACATGGAACACCACCAGGGAGAAGAATCAGCACCAGGGATGTGTGTGGGCATTCCAAAGCAAGGGTTGCAGCCAGGGGGACGGATGCCGGTATCAACCGCGCGGTTGGTAGAGCAAGTGGAGCAACAGACCAGTTGAGCAAGTTGGATTGATTTGTACAGGCAGAAACTCCATTCCGCCCCTTGTTCTTCTATACCTACCGTTCATTTGGCCAGATGTCCGAGGACATTCACCAGCTCTTGCAAGCGAAAGCTGAAAGTGGTGAGTGGAAAAAGGTAGAAAGTGGGACAGACGATTGAGGACGATTTCTTGAGATGATTTCAGCACATTACACTTTATTAATACATTATATATAAATTATATATGACTTTCATCGCTCTTGGGTTGGAGGCCATTGCTGGTAGGTTGGAGCTGGAGGCCATCGCTACTAGGGTGGCCGCCATCGGTATTAGGTTGGAGGCCATAAACATTATATATGGTGCAGTCTGACAACTGAAGACTGAACACATCACCACTTCCACCACTTTCTTGTTTGACCCTGCATGCTTGTGGCCACTGCATGTGTCCGGCTTTACCTAAGACCAGCGGTTCCACCTAAAGGAGCATTGTCACCACATCCAGTTGCTAACAAGCCTTTGTTGACAGAAGACGAAATGTGGCAGATTCTTTAGGCAAAAGCCAAAGACCGGCATAGCACTCTCAAAAGCCAGCATTTTGAATGCAACAGGGAAGTCATCGGTCGCTTTGATTAGGGAGATTGAGCCAATACAAGATACCAGGAGATCCAAGGCGACAAATAGTAGAATTGACTGTATTGCTCATCAGCAATGGGCCTGTGTCGTTGTGTGTGCGGCGTTTGCGCATGTCTTTTGGCTGTTCCATTGCTTCTGATTTGCAGCGTTTGCATTCCTGAAGTGGAACGCAACTTGTCGGCACTGAAGTGCAACTGGCGATGGACCACACGGACCATTCGATGCTTTAGACGGACCAGTCTTCAGATGTGTCATGCGGATGTGTCATTCTGTAGTGACGTATGCTTCTACCCTTTCTCGGCCTATTTACAAGAGTGCAGTGTTGCCCTTGTGCCGTCCATTTGGATACATTGGCACCATCCAAGTTGCATACATCCGATTCGTAGAGACCTATGCAATCTCTATTCCTCCATTGCGTTTGATTCTACTGATCCTGGGACAAGTGCCTCGAGTCTGGGAGCACGGTCACTTGGCCGGTGTCGGTGTCGGTCGTGACTGGGAGAGTCGTGCGGGTCGTGCTTCACGCCTAGCAGTTCGCTACGCCTCGCAAGGCCAGGCGCAGCTGTCGGTCGCCTCTTATGATGCGAAGAAATGTCTTTGAGAAAAAGAGTGTATACCCTCCCTCAAACAATCATGGAAGCTGAGCAGACCCCCCTTGTAGAGGACAATTGGTCTTCCAGGGGCCTAGGTTCCACTTCCATGATTGTTTCAGGGAGTGTAACAATCTTCCCTTTTTCGAGACGAGAGGCGGGATCAGGTCCACCATGCTTGCACGATGCTTGCAATTGACATGCCTCGAGCGGCGGCTGCTTGTAGTTGTTATTTGTTATCGCTGAGCTGGGGCCAAAACCCTGATCACTGATCCAATCCATTCCAATCCGATTGTTTCAGTATGTTGGTTGATTGATAGGTATTCCCCCAATCAATGGAATTTACGAATGGCAACATGTTTTCAAAGTATATGTTGTATATATGTGGTGGGCCCTCTCGTATACTGGTTGTTTCACAGGCCTATCAAACCGCTGGTTTCACCATCCCATCGAATCAAACCTGTCAAACCCCTGTTTCTCACCAGGCACTGCCTGGCAGCGCGCCCATTCCAGGTCCACTTGGAGTCGGTCCTGTGTGGAATCCGCGCATAGTCTATGCAGTCAATGGCTATGAGACTGGGATCCTTCCTTGTCGAATCCTCAGTTCAGAGAGGAAGCATGTTTTTTCCGAGTGATGAATTGGGATGGTGATTGAAATGTGTCGACTGCCTGGTCATTTTAGAGTTTTTAGAGAGTCATATAGAGTCGAGTCATGTTAGATTAGTTAGATTCTACATAAATTAACGTTTGCATGGCATGTTTAATCTGTTTGAATCCCTAGAATCTCTTGCATTTCTGCAAATGTCATGTGACGAGTGCTGATGGCCTTTGCTCAGTTCCAAACCCAGCGAACTTCACGCGTGGCTATATGCTGGCGCGGGTCAGCCATGAGCAGGTCAGGGCAGTGCACCACAATCCGTAGCGCGGAGGAATCGTGATGTTACCTTTGTTGCACCGACAAAAACCTTCAGCGTTGGACAAGCAGATTGTGGCAGATTGAAATTGGCTGAACCCTTGAGATTCTTTTGAGCTGGTGATTGCATGTGATTGCTGGTCCTGTTTCAGTGCGGTATATCTCAGAGCACCCCGTTGGAATGTCCATTGGAATGCGCCAAGGCACTTGAAGCGAGACGCGAAGCGGTTTATTGGCGTCGAGACCGCCAAGGTTCCGAAAGGCCAGTCGACGCGGGCGTGAAAAGAGAAAAACAAAAACACCTTATTTTGGAAAACAACAGCTGTGTGTCTTTCTATGTGTTTTCTATATGATTTATGTTTACGTTATGTTCTTCATGTTTTCCGAAACAGAACACACATGTGACATGGACGTGGCAGTTCCACCCATATTAGCAATCATAGATGGTGACACTGGAGTCTACTCGTACCATTGTGACAGCAACTATAGTTTGCCTTGTAATTTTGTGGTGTTTGCCAATGTATAGGCTACTTCTCAGAAGGAGTACTGCCTACCCTCCTTCAGTGCCGTGGCACAAAGATATTAAGGCTGTTTCCTTGATGTTTTCTTGCATGCATTTGTTTGTTGCAGTCTTAAGATCATATCATACACAATACAACTCCTGGAGTTTGCAGTGCTATGATTCCATACTTGATTCATATTGATTCTAGTTGATATTATATTGAAATCTAACACTGGAAAGTTGGGCTGCGTTGAAGTTTGTGATTCTTTCAGTGATGATTTATTTGGCCGGCACATCCTGCTCAAATAGCCATTGAAACCCCAAGTGAGCCGCACACGTTCGAGCAAGTGATCCAGGTTTGCCCACAGCACCAATAACAACTGCCATGACTGCTATGCCAAACCAAGGATGAACACTGATGATCCGCTGCGATATGCTCATCGACGCCCGGTACAACGGAAGTAAAGACCATTAAAAACCGGTTCAATTAGTCATTTCTTGAGTGTTTTGCGTAGTTTGATTCCATTTGGAAGATGACAAGTCTTCCGTGTTGCGATGGATATGTGTTCCCCTTAAAGGAGGTTGGTTAGCAATGGCATGCAGTTCTTCGTCCAACAATCATGGAAGTGGACAATAGACCATTGGAAGACCATGTCCATGATTGTTGGGGCGAGGGTACATTTGAGGGTTTCCATAAATGGGGAGACCCCCAAATCATCCATCTAATGATTGTTGTTTAATCATCCGTTTTGGGGCGCCCCCATGTATGGAAACCTCCATGGACATCGATAACCATTCCTTCACAATGTCCGCGAAGGATTTTGCATTATTTCTGTACATTGACAGTAAGATGGTCGATATCACAAGGTGAACACTAAGTGCAAGATAGGGCTAGTATATGCTAGTATTTTGCTTAAAGTGACTTTTGATGTTCCCTATGGGTAAACTTAATCCCCTTCTGATGAATATGTTTTATTGGTTCCTGAAGCAAATGGAAGAAAAGTCTTGAAGTTATTTCAAAGCTGAGCTCATGTTGCCCTGAAACTGCCTTTGATCAATTGTTGTTTGTCAGATAGCCAACTGCACAGTATGTTGCAAACCCTGCTGCCACAAGGAGATCTATTGTCAGCTGCAATGCCTTCTATCGCTGAATACGTTGACTCTGTGCCTGAATTTAAACCTCTACCAGACATATCTCCAAAGGATTTGGTGCAAGACATTTCTTGGTAGGGGGCTCAGTCTCGGACCTGCCAAATTCACTGTGTGCTGCACAGGAATGTATTTGAGCTCGCTGTAGCTTCTGTGCACACGCCTCACCTAGCCAGGATAACTAGCCATGCCTCACCTCCACTTCGATATTTTTGAGTCAAAGTATGTTGGCATATGTCGGCCATGTTGATGTCCACCTCGTGGCTCTTTGAATCCCAACGCAAGGCATTTGAAGATCCCATTTCCAAAGACCGTCAGCACCATGGTCCAGAATCTCTTCGCCTTCACCTTTTACAGGACTCACAAGGGGAGATTGGCGGTCAAAACAAGGGGAGCTTGGTTTGTCCTACCAAAAACGAACAGAATGGACTGATTGGGGCACACCCAGGTGCCACCCACGAAGAACATGTGGGTCTTTCTTCAAATGACCTGCTCAAGAACATCCAGTCCATGTTGGGAATTCACCCCCCCCCCTTCTGGGTGGACACCCATGAACTTGAGAAACAGGTGTACCGACCGATCTGGTGTCCCGTTTCGGCCCGAAAAGGGTGTGTTGCTGCAGATGTGGCCACGAACGCGCTTGCGTTCTTGCTCTTTGCAATGATTTCTGGTAGTGTGCATGCTTCCTGTGTTTTTGTTGCTTTTTCAGGCATGCCTTCGGTGTTGAGCTTTCGAATGCATCTTGGACTTATTGATTGATCTAATGGCCTTTCGATCTGTTATTTCGAACGGGAAGACATCGCCAGCGCGCTTGCGATTTTGTGCCAAGGACGAACTTCCCCTTTTGCGAGAATGGCTTGGAGCACCTTGCCACTTTTTGGAGCCCTTTCCTGTGGGCTTGGAGCAACCCTGAAAGCACTACGATGCTCCCACAACTCTGTTTTCAGATGGATAATTTCGATCATATTCTGATCAGTCTTACCAACATTGCCAGGAGCAATTCACTTGCGAGCACCTGCCTACCCACCTATCCAACGATCCACCTATTCACGATCTATTCACCCCCAAACCCACAGACTGACAGTTCATCAGTCCAATTCTTCACTTGCTGCCAATGACAGTCTTACTGTCCAGCCTATTTTCCCTTCGCTGCAGATACCTGGTAAGCTTTTTCTGGGCATGGTGTCAGAAGCTGGTGCAAAGCACTGTCGAGAACTTGCGAAGGCACAGCCAATCGCAGGATTCAAACATGATCGGCCGTGATCTAACCGTACTTTAGACAGCAGCTGAACGCTACAATCCTTTTGGCTTGTTTTGCACTCCCAATGATCCATAGGCAGTGACATGTCAAGAGAGATGGACATGAGAGATGGACATGGACATTCAGTGGACTTAGTGAGTTCGGTGGAAGGTCTTTGAGGACAAGGTGGCGGCCAGTGAGTTTGGCCAGCGTTTCATGCAAGAAGCTGAACGCAGAGGTAGGGTGAAGGAAGGGGGGAGCTCAAAGACATGTTGGTGGGACTTTTGTGTGGTGCTTGGCTGAGAATCGTTTTTTTTGTGTGTGAGTGTGTGTATGTGAGGCCTCTTAGGAGTTCAAGGATATGTAAATGCAATGAAATACATTGAAATAAGCTTATATAGTTATAACTATATATTATACTTATATGTGTGCGGCATGCATCGATGGCAAGTATCGCTTGTTACACAGAGCCTGGATGGTCGACCTTCTCAGAGTCGAGAGTCGGTCGACCATGCGAGTCGAGAGTCGTTCGTTCGTTCGGTCAGGCATGAATGGCATTGAGCGATTGCGGAAGACGGTCTTCGAATTTAGCTTTGCTGGATTTGGTGGAGATGGTCCTGGAGGCCAGAGGGACATGATTTTGTGGTGATCACCTTTGTTTTCTTTTGTGAATTGAAGCTGCAGCTGCCAAGCCTTGCAAACATTCATGAAGTGTATTGCATAAATAACAGCAGAGAGGTGGATATGTTTGATAGTTGAGTGACCAATTGGCGTTTGCTTTGTGATCGGTGCTGTAAGGTGCACTTGCAACAATGAAGATGCTCAGGCGCCGTGGACGATTGCTGTAGACGTTGTTTTCTCAGTGTATGCAAAATACGCAGCACACACACACACATCCTAAGAACAAACTCATGAAGAAGAAATGCCTCACGCAATCTTCCAACGTGCAAATGGGGGTCATGAGGCTGAGGCCCAGAGGTTGCACACGCTGTCAGGTTCATTCAGAAATCGCCCGCGAAGTATGTACCTCTCTTCCAAAGGGATCCTGAAGCCTTTGTGCTGGAGGCCGATCGTTGATGTCGATGTCCACGTGCAGAGCGTTTCTGTCGAACAAAGCCGAAGGACCGACGAATGACCAAGCGACACGACCCGTCTGGGACTGCCATGCCGATCGACCCCCCCCCTGGCACCACCACCACCCCCTGGCCGTTTTGAAGGCCGGCAGTCCCAGACGGGTCGTGGGGGATGTGAAACGGGTGAGTGAAGCTTCCGATGGTGATTGATGTCCTTTTCGCTTCCAAGCGAAGCGGAAACGCAGCGCGCAGGTGATCCGGATGCAAGGTGGTGGTGGAGCCGGAGTGAATCCATGGATCCTTGAGGCGACTCAGTCGCTCGGTTTTTGTGAAAACGGTCGTTTAACAAGCCGTGACCGGGGCTGTTCACGGCGGAAAGAAACGGTCAGCTGAGAACATAATTAGAACGCCCCTCAGGTTTGATCTGGTAAAATATGGGGTAAACAATCATGTAACAAGAAGCAAAAATAACAATCCCTCAACCACACGAAACAACTGAACAGTACTGAGAATGAGATGTTATTTTTGTTGATGTATACAAGTGATGTTCCAACTGCTAGCATCATCAGCACGAAAGGAGGCGAAATCGCACGAGCAACAACAGAACAAGAAAAACAATAGGAGCAGCAACAGCAACTGCAAAAACATCCGAAAATTGAGATTCGTTTTTGGTTTTGCTTGGATCTGACAACGCTTTTCCTGAGAGTCACCCACGAAAGTCATGTCAACCTGCGAAGGGTCTGACCTGCCTGTTTCCCCAGTTTGGCCAACGACCAGCCAATGTGGGCTCATTGGACATCTTATCATCTTGTACCCTGCTGCAGATTGGACCCAAACAGCCACTGAAACAGATGAGAACAGTCTTCCAAGTCGATCATGCACCATCCATGTGCTCCGGCCGACCAAGAGAAAGCGCCGGGGGTCGCTCTGCAGCGCCGGGCTTTCGGCTTGGGTCGGGACCTGCGGTCGGCTCGGTCGGTGCTGTGAGGGACCGCACGGTCGGTGCCTGTGGCGAACTCAGGACGTTCACGCTTGGCACTGGAAATGAAGTGACCGAATTTGCTGGAAGCTTGGCGAAGGTATTATCTGATAGTATGGGTGATTGTGAAAGTTTGGTTCTTTGCGTAGAAGAGATGGCGACATATGGCGGTGCCAGTGCTTTTTGCCAGGCAATTATGGTGCTACTATTGCTCTACATGCGAATCATGATCCAGCCGTCTTTGGCGGGCCATCAGCAGATCAACAGTACGTTCCATGAACAGCATTTGTGTTCGTCTTCGCCGCGTTTGTTGTTGAGAATTGAAGTTGCTCAGGTTGCTTAATTAAGAGCCTCACTTTCTAACTTCAGTTGCTCAAGCTGCTTAAGTTTCTCAATTGAGACATACATCGCATTTCTCTGTGAGAGAGTCATTGTCTTTGCACTCCCTTGATTGGTCATGTTGTGAGCCGTCTTCCACTGTGACAGTTGCCTTTGTTCCGTCTCGTCATGTCTCGTCATGTCTCGTCCGGTCGGAGGAGACGAAGACTCGACAGTTGGCGGATGGATTCATGGATTCATGCATGTGAATGAACACTCCATATGGAAACCTTATACTATCCAGGTAGGGTGTTACATGTCATGTTTTTATGGTGAAAAGATCCATTTATGATGCATTTCCCGACCTTTGTCCTGGGAAAGGACAGCCCTTTACTCCCAGGCTCGCCACCGTGCCACCATGAGGAATTTTCGGCCCGGCAAAAGCTTCCTATCATTTCTTCAAACAAAAGATGAGGGTCCTCAACGCCAGATCTGAATGCCAGATGGAATTCCGTATCCTTCCAAGTCCAAGACCCTGTTTTTTAATAGTTGACCTGGCTTTAAGTAGGGTAACATCCTTAAAGTAAAACCAAATCATATGACATCAATAGCTTAGTAGGGATATTTATATAAGAGTCCGGACGAATCCGGAGACCCAACAACTGACTTTTTCGGACCCAGGAAACGGTGGACCCTCGGTAGAAATTGGGCAAACAATATGCAAACCAATACCCAGACACTCCATGTATGGCATATATGCCTACATTGACCCCCCCAAACCACCCCAATGTAGGCATATATGGCATACGTGGAGTGTTTGGGATAGATGATATAACCCGAAAAACAATATGAAACACACAATTAATGCAAACAATATATCCCAGACACTCCATGGGACTGCCATATATGTTGATCAGTTGGGGTGGTTATGGGAGTCAATGTCGACGTCAGTCCTATGGCAGTCCCATTAATTAGTCGTGTCTGGGCATGTGAAATACAAACAAGCAATTAATTTTCAACGAAACAGAACGACCTGTCGGTTCTACTTGTTCTACTTGTCTGGTCTGGCGGTTCTACGAACCCGTTTTGTTCCTTTTGGACTTCGCAGAAACCACCGACGGCCGGTTTCGCTCGGTGTCGCTTGGCGCCGCACCGTGCCCCTCCACCCGGTCAGTCGAGGCAATGAGCTTCATTCCTGGACGTGAAAATGCGGATCGATTGCTGAGCTTTGTGGGAGAGTTGAGAGAAATACGCAAGTGCCACCTGGAAAATCCATGGATTCTATGGTTTCTATTTTTGTTTGGTGAAGTTGAGTGCATCAGATATGATCAGATCCATAAATCCAAGAAGTCTTTTTGGGCCCTTATGGATTAGATCGTCACATCATGCTGAACCTCAGACGCTCGAGGGACCAGCGGCCCAAGGTCCAAACATGACGGGCTGTGATGCGGCACCACGCTTCTGCCTTGGCACCTTCATGCTGCCGCTGGGCAATTTGCAGTTTGTTTATTCGGTGTTTAAACGATGGGACCTTTGATGTAAGTTGGTATCCCCTGATCCCGTATTGTTCTGAAAATTTAGTGAGTCCGAGTGTATAGTAGTTTTATCCCATGATCTATTTGTTTGCTTCAACCCTGGACACGGTTCCTCGTGCCATGGCAGGCAACGCATCATGAAGCAGATTGGGCTCTACTACATCCAGGGCCTAGAAGAGACACACCATCCAATCCGTGAGGAGATGTAATCATGTACGTAGTATGATGGTAGTCAAGGTACTTCATCAATGATCATGAAGGACCGCCGGTAGGCTCAGAGCCGCTCGACTGTCGAGCTTTCATTGGATGTGCTGGACATGGTGACAGGAAGTCGAAGGGAGTGGTTCCCTCCTCCTGCAGGGCCGACCATGGCCTTTCCAAAAGCCCGCGATCGGACGGTCGGACTGTCGATCGGGCGGACTGTCGATCGCTTGAAAGCGAAAGAACGCGCGCACCTTGGCCCCAGACCTGGCTTGACTTATGGTCCTTGCACTGAGAGGACGGTTGAGAGGACAGTGAATGTGTTGTTTCAGACGCAAGCACTACCGCCGGCGACTGCCGCAGCATTGGCTAAAGTTGGTATCATAGATTTCGAGGTCCGAGTTGCAAGGCACAGCGAACGGCCCATGGAGTTGACCATTGTGAAGTGGGTTGCGGATGATGTGCGCAAGACCTGGGCTGCAGGCGCTGAACTGTCATAGAAACCCATGGACCATCCAATTCGTCAGAAAACCATCGCCAATTCGTCCTCAACACGTGGAAATCAAGTGGAATCCACCAGGACCCTCTAAGGGGTGCCCTGTCTGGAAGCCTTTTTCGGTCGTGTGGGGTAGTCCAGCCAGCACACCCCGAGGGTCGGAGGGTCCAGGCCAGAATTGACGCCATGTGTTGCCAAACATGTCCAACGCCAGATGCCTGGGTCATCCCTGGGTCCCCTGAGGCGCCGTACAACATGGCTCCGTTCAGGCTGCTCAGGCGCGTCGAGCAGGGGCAGGGACATCGGTGGTCCGACGGTGCCAAGGTCTGACTTTGTACGCTCCTAATAGGGACCTCCCAGAAAGTGGTCGCACTTACGGAACGAGTCGGTGGCAACTTACGGATGAAGAGCTGCGCATCATCAATCTTCGGAGAACTTGGTTTGCACATCATCATGAGAAGCGGTTTGTTTACCATATTGTTATAATGAGTGATTTGGTTTTGTGTAAAAATACCTCAGCAAAAACGAGGCTTCCTCTTCGGTCTTCGGTCTGGTACCAGTGAATCAAGGGTGGGCCACCGGGTTCTCAGAGGTGTTCCCTCCGCCGAACAGGTTCCCCAGGTGCCGCCAGCATCGAATCAGTTCAACCTGACGTCACCATCGGTGGAAGTGTCAGATGAGGATGACATGGAGATGCAGCTTGGATGACCCTGCGACCCTGCCATGTTTGTCCAGGCCCCGCCCTGGTTTCGAGACCCACATGGAACCTGAGTTCACCACGTCGCATTGTAGAGGGATATACCAAATATGTCTTCCAAGGTCTTCCAAGGTCTTCCATGTTCAGCTTCGGTCTCTTCCCGGGTGTATCCTACCGTATTGAAGTCTACACTTTGGTCCCGTTCTTCCGACGTGTCATGAAACAGTCATAGTCCGTCGCAAGATCCGCGGCATCGAAGCGTCGATCCGGGCAATTCGGCCGACGTTGAGAACTTGGGAACTCGATCGGGGGCGTGGGGGCGAGCGTTGAGCGAGCGTTCTCGAAAGGCGATCGTTGGGCTGGCTGACCAAAGACTAACATTCCTAGCACTTCCTGTCTGGGTGCCCTGTCTGGAGGCCTATAAGTAGGGAAGCTAGACCTAGTCTATTCAGAAGCCATTGAGCCATTGAGCCACCCAATGGAGGCCTATATGTAGGGAAGCTAAGGTAGTCTATTGGACACTCATAAGCAATTGAGCCATATTGAGCCTGGTTTTCTGGTTGTTTTGCATGTTTTCCGGTTCATTTCTTGGGATCGGTCGCAAGCTGGTGTGTTTCTTGGCGATTCGCCGACGCCTCCAAGGCTTCCGGAGGACTACGCCACTTGGTCGTGTTGAGCGGGGGGGGTTCGTGGCCCGCTTGTGCTGCGGTGCAAGCAAAAGAGACGTGGGTGTCACATATGAAAAGAGAGAGAGAGAGAGAGTGTGAGGGACACACCCCCAAACTCCAACCATCCTGGAATAGATAGAATATGATAGAATATGAACCAATTTGAAAAAAAAAAACATGACCAGTTATGTGTTTTATGTTTATGTTTTGTTTTTTCCAAACGCCATTCATACTCCATGATGACTTACATCATCAAAGGCCCGCACTTTGGGGTTCTCCTTCGTTGTAGCAGGGCCGAAATCGACGAAAGCGAGACACTGGGCTGTCCAGCCGTCGAACGTCGGCCGTTCAGTCTCCGGTTCGCCCGCCCCACGGGGCGACCTGCGAAGGGCAGGGGCGACTTGCGAGGGTTCGGGGCGAGACGCAGAGGGTGTGACGCTCTCAGGTGCTTCTCCTGGAACGTACTCCTATTTGGGAACTTCCAGATGATGACGACTTGGAAGCTGAGGAGTGCGGGCGGGCGGGCGGGCGACCGGATGCCTTCCTTTCATCTCTTTTCCTAGCTCTTTTTCCTGCTCTACTCCCTGAAAGAATCATGGGCCGGTGGCATAGCCGAATCCAAAGACCAAAGACCAAATGCTGGTCCTGGTGGTCTTTCCGCTCTCCGCGAAACATCACGACACCATGGATTCTTTCATACCCAGACACGACCCGTCTGGGACTGCCATATACGCCGATCAATTGACCCCCCCTGGCACCACCACCCCATTAGGCAGTCCTACGGCAGTCCCATCGATCGGTCGTGTCTGGGATATTGGTTCTTCCAACCCACCTAGCCTTCGCCCGATCGCTCCCCTTTCGGGTACCACCCCGGGTACGGGTCTCCATCGGACACGTCGTTCCCAAGGAGACTGAAAGTGGGCACAAGAAGATGCGCATGGACTCGTTCCGCTCCCGGAACTCAGTCAAGTGGTGTCAACGAGTAGTTGTAACTGAGAACTGAGCCATGGATTGACGCTAATGATATCCATTCTTTATTGTTTCTTAAAATATGCGATTGATGTATCCATGCCGAAATGTAGTTGTGGAGATGTTGATTGTTCTTGGTTTACCCGGGACATTTCCATGGAGAAAAACATGCAGAATGGCTCCGTTTCGCCAAGGCCATCTTCAGCTTCAACCGCAGCCACCAGCCCTGCGGCGTCGCTTGGCCGCCAACTTGGCAGACGCTCATATGATGGGAATAGACATCGGGGCAGACGCCATGTGTAGGTGCAACATTGTGTTGTCTCATTGAGTCAATATATTAACATATCAGATTCTCATAATAATTCAATATATAACTATCATATGACGCAGACACCATTTGACTGCCATGCCGATCAGGCCAGGGGTGGTTGACTGGGGGTCTGGCTTGATTGGCAGTCCGTCCTGGCAGTCCCAGGTCCAGGTCGTGTCTATAGGTGATATGATTTGTAGGTATCTTGAAATAGCTCGTCAAGTCGTCATGTCTGTAGCTCCTTCGATCCCCCTTTTTTACGGCAGAAGTGACTGGCGGCTTCGCCATGACGGCCGAGGAGTTCTCCCATCTGCTATGAATCAATACCAACACCCTCCAAGGAGTCTCCAATGGAATACCCTACATTACGTCACTCCGTACGCGAATCTCCGGACATTCCTTTGAAGCTCCAGATTCTGCTGATTGAGCAGAAATTTTCAGAGTATTTCCAGCACAGAAAGGGTGTAGACTCTAGACCGCTGACGATGCATGTTCCTTCCAATAACCACACAAACTGGGTGGTGCTGGTTGGTAATAGACATTTAATCCAACAGCTATGACATTGATAGCAAGCTTCTGACAGATGTGGAAGAGTATCGGTCACCAGCGCGCCTACTCACCCAGCCAAAAGTGCTGTGATTCAAGAGCTCCAAAATCCAGCTCTTGCGTCATCTCTTTGGCATGAGAAAAGACCACAGACAACAGTGAGAAGAAAAGAAACACACGTCTCAGACACAGTTCAGTACATTTTAGCAAAAAGCGGTCGCATCCGTCGCATCGTGCATTTGTGAGATTTGTTTTTTGTGAAAAGACTTGACATGCTTCGAGCGAATCCACAAGGCCCAGTTCGCCTTGCATCTTGCCCTCGCCGCACGAGCCGGAGACTTGACGAGACGTAATGATCAGAGGCACGACGAGACGAGACGAGCGATGGCCCTAGGCTTGGGAGAAACATGTAAGATGAGATGTGTGTTCCCCTCCTGGCCTACCTCCATTTGGGTGCTTGGAGTCCAACCTGATGATGTGGGACGTGAGCGGCTCAGGGGTTTCGAGTGCAGCTTTTAAGGCCTTTACATCCGCTGGACTTGCACTTGTTCCGTTGTTTCCTCTCCCACGAGTGCATCTTGTGGTCCACTGTATGATGTGTTCCATGTCATGTTCAGTATTGACATGTATTGACGCATGTTTCCCCATGCCTCAGTTATTTGTTTGGACGCACTGTTTCCTTGGTAACCCCAGTATGACGTCATCATGATATATAATTTACATTCGGGCAACCTTTTTTCACATGAATTTTGTCGCTCACACTGTCATTTTGCATGTATTTGTCCAAGTTTGTCATGCCTAGGAATTCTATGCTGCCATGACAGAAGAGGAGATTCGAGAGAGGCTGGGCGTCGTACCCTGGGCTGCAGTGCACCGGCGGAACCAGGGGCACCCAACCGCGTGAGACGGTTGGTGTCGGAACCAGGGGCACTGCGTTTGGGCACTCACTTAGCTAAGAGGAAAAACGTGTTGTCATGCGGTTTCACCTTCATTCAAGACCAGAGTGTCCATTCCATGCGGATTGGTCATCCCATAATTCCCAAAAACTCAATGTAAATATTATGGTGTATATATGCCTACATTTGGGTTATGTCAACTGTTTATGTAGGCATATATACCGTACATGGAGTGTTTGGGTTTATTCATGATTATTCAGGATTATTCTATAAATATTAAACCCTGCGATGACCTCGTGTCTTTGATGACCTTTCATGCATGTCTTTTCACTTGAGTAAGTGTTGCTTCCTGGAGTTGCAGTAGGTGCTTAGGATATATACACAACATTCACAATTGCATCCCTGTCGCCTGTACCACAGCGAAAGTGGTTGGTGGAGTTGGTGCTTATGGCTCCAATTCCTTTGTTGTTTCTACCGAAAACGGTCGCACAACGAGCCGTCGCACCTCTGGTGGAGACGCTCGCTCCGTGGTGGACCCGCAGTCCGAGGCTGGGTCCAACATTGCCATGGAATGGGAAAGGGAGGACTTATTGGCCACTCTCATGGAGATTGACAAGGCCTTCACCGCACACGTTGTCGAAAAACGATGTGCTCTTTTCTCGGCCGGAAGCGTAGATAGTACGTGTTGCCTTTTTGGGTGTGCGATCGATTTCGCCGATGGGTGGGCTGTGCAGTGTGGTGTTTCTGCAGCGACCGTAAGTGAGTGTCCAAGATTTGGCCTGGTAGGTCATCCCAGAGATGTCCAAGCTAGGTCTTTCAACATGATGCGCCGAAGAATGGAGATGTATAGCGATGTACAGAGTGTTTTGAAGTAATGTGGTGCTGATGTCGGCCATGCTCTCCCTTTGAGCCAGAGCCCTGCCAAGCCCACTCCGAATTGGCTGGAGGCGCAGTCCTGATTTCAATAGGACCAAGTCACAGTCTTTTGCCGCCAGAATTTCGCCCATTTGCTCGCTAAAGGCGATGGGTATTTTTTGGAGACCTCACTTTTTAGAAGGCCAGGTCACCTGGCCTGGCATCTTCAGCGCAGTTTGGAACTTCCGGGCCCTCGAACCTTGGAGATTCTGCACTCAAAATCCAAGTCCACAGGGTTTCGAAAGATTTCGACGACATGTCAGTCCTGCATTTGAGGTGTCCCAGAAGAGAAAGATCCACATGGCGCAACAGGATTCAGACCGGGCTCTTCCCTCCTTGATTCCGAGCTTCAAATGCTCCTCGTTCAGGCGAATGAGGAGGAGCCTTTTCAGGTCTTTCCTGTTTTTCTTTTCGCCACCCCGCGCTGTCGCCACGTGGCGTCCTCCAACGAAAGCAGGTCGCCGCTGTCACCTCGGGTGGTGAAGTTGAGCTCTGACGGCTCCACGAATACGACGTGGCACATCTGGGGGTCCAAGACATCTTTACCAGTGCCATGCTGCACCGAAGCGAACCAAGACAGGTTGAACAGCCCTAAGGTCGCCCATCCCATATGTACCACTACAGAGTCCTAGTTCTGGTCTCTCAACCTCTGAAACCAATGTATGGATGACGATGGCTGCTATAGCTGCTATAGGGGATTCTCCCGTCCAGTAAAAGCAGGGGGCATTTTGTTGGTGAACTGGCCGTCGTGAGGCTTAGCCGAACTGCTCAAGCCGAACTGCTCAGCCTGGTTCAGACCAAGGGAAGACTTCGTGTCCGAGGCACCACGAAGGTGATGCTCGTGAAATCCAGAGTCTTTGAACAGGCTGAACAAAAACACTTTTTAGAGATGCTGACATTGAAGCTTTTGGACCCTTTGTCAGTGCACGGAGTGTTCTGTTTGGTTGTTACTGGCGTCCGCTGGGGTTTTGTTCTTAACTAGATGTCAACATACTTCATCCGGATTTGATTTCATGCGTTGCACCACCAACTCTTTGTTTGGACAAGTCCACCACATATATGAGGGGTCACGATTGGATGAAAGGGCAGGAGACTCATCGCACTTATCTCAGCACCAAGCATGTATCGTCGCAGTTCGCCACACCACAACCAACTTTCGGGAAGAACACAACCAACTGCCGGTCCTCGGGGACCGCTGAATCTCCTCTTGGACCAGATGCTGAGTACTCGGGACCGGTTCAAAAAACAAAAACAGACCCTGAAGATCGCGTTTCCTTTGTGTCAGCTGTGGTCCTGTGTCCAAGAAGAATTTCAGCCCGTAGTCGTGACCAAAGTCCCTTGACCTGGGGGTGAATTTGTACATAAATGGCCCGCCCCAAACTGCCCTGCCGCGCAGAGAAGCATCACAACTGTATAGGATGCACAGGACCTTCCCACCCTGCGATTCTTCAGACCTTCCCCTGGCTTCCTGGCCGCACAGAGACGGCAGGAGCAGGACAGGGTCTGATTTCGGTGCCCAAAAAGGCTTGGGGGATCGAGGGATGCTGTTGGGACGAAAGGATTCTGGCTTCGGACGAAGCCCCAGGTTGGTCAGCATTTCTTGACTGGCTTGTAGCAGGTCGACGCTCAAGCTATATGCAAATAACAACCAATTACATCAAATTGCTCTCTTATAATCTCTTATAGATTGATGTTCATTGATGGGTCGGACAGTTGGCTATGTCCAACGTGACAACTGTGTACGAACAAGTCACAGGAGTGTGCAGGTGATTTCGCTGCAAAGTAAGACACGACTTAGAAGCGTGTTGTGTGACGCTTCTGGCTCCAGACGATGGCATAATATATTGGTAGCGGTAGCGTATTTTGATCTATCACATTGCTAGGTGAACTGCTCAATGAATTGTGGCCAGATCTATAGCTTCATGCCTTGGCCCTTTGGGGGTTCTAAAGTAAAGATGTCTAAAGCAAAAAAGAAGTTCGTTTGTATCCATCCATGTCCATCCATTTCCGATGGCAAGTTGAGTTGCCATCCGCAGATGCCAAACGTGGCTGGCTTTCCAACCTCCACAGGCGCAACGAATCCGAACCGTGCATGCCTTGACACCTGAAATCCCGTTCAGCTGTCGGCCTGTGACGAGCCTTCTATCCCTGCTTATCACCGTTAGAACATGTTAGAACCTTCTAAACAGATCCATGTTTGACGGACTTTGATTCTTCCCCTTTGAAGCTTTCTGATCCCCTTTTTTACATTCGCTTTGATCAGATCATGGTACTGAAGCGAGTCAGGGATGCCGAGTCGCTGTGATCGAGAGCTGTGTGGCTCAGTGCTGACCTCGTTGACCTTGTCGTCGGCATTTCCAGGGCTGGAGGCTCCTTCCCAGTTCGGGAGGATGGAGCGGAACCTTTCGGTTTCAGTCCACGATTCGTGGCTGGACGTCAGCTTTTGGAAGAGTCGACCCAAAAGTCCAAAACCCTTCGAAAGCGTCAACTCGTCCTTTGCACAGTCTCAATGTCAGCAGATCCATCCGGAGGTGCTCGCACCTGTCGCACCTGCTGTGGCGCCAGTGAAGTGACGTCATTCGTCATCCCGCGACCCGCTATAGGCTCCCTATAGGCTTTGCCCCTGAAGGCTCTAAGTGACATCCCCCCGTACATGAGGCTCTATGAAATGACAATCACTTTCCTCTATGAAATGGGTTTTGGACATCATTCTCTCTTTGGTTCAGAGTTCCAGGACTGGTGCCCCCCTTCGCCGAAAAAGGCTCACACGACTGGCAAGATGATTTACGATTCACCAGTGCTTCGAGTCATCCGAAGAAGAGCTAGGACGGATTGAAAAAGAGACGTCGAGGCATCCCCGTTTTCGATCGTATCCTTTTTGGAACTTGCAACCGGACCGTTGCAGATGTCTAACTGTAGCTCTATGAGGTACTTTAGCATCACCTACTACTTGTGATCCTGCCTTCTCGTGATGGGGCAAAGGCTACTACTATGGCATGCCGGCCTCCATTTGTTTGGCCTCTTTCTTGGCTCAGTG